ACATGCGGCTACGATGAGAGGCGAGAAAGCCGGTTGGCCGCGTGCGACCACGTGCGTCCTCCACCGCCGCTTGATTCACAAGCGCAGAGGTTACGTGATCATTCTGGATTTTTCTTTTTCGTCTTTTTCTCTGCCTACCTTTCCTCTCAAAATCTTGAAGAGTATTTACTGGAGCTTTCTTAGCCGTGTCCAGGTATTTATTCTTGTGTGCCTTTTTTCTGTTTACGCGAAAATCTTTTGTTATTCTCTGCGGCTTGAAACCGCTCAAATCTCTCGTATTTGTTTTTCTAGATCTACGTATTGCAAATTATCGACATTTTGATGTAGCACAATGTAGGATACAATGATGAAACGCAAATCTATGTTACGGAATTCGCATCACAACGAAACAGCCGCGAAAATTAATCGTGTTCTCACTAACGGCTACTGCAAGGGGCTAGTAATAAAAATATTTAATTAAGCATAAAGTCAAGGAAAAAGAAGACGAGTCAAGAGGGTAAAAATGGCAGATCGGCAGCATCCCTCCTCTTCATTGTCATGCAGATCTGGCTGACGAAGTCTCTGACGGTCAGTTCAACTCTCGAAGAGAAACGAGCGCGAGCGAGGTTTCCGGCGTCGTGGGAACGCCTGCGAACGCTTGCTCTCTCTCTCTCTCTCTCGCCTTTGTGCGCGCGCTCTCGTTTATTTTTCGTCTCTCTCCTTTTTTCTCCTCTCTTTTCTCCAGCATCCTTCCCTCCCCGCGGGCTCTACACAACAGCTCGAAAGGCGCGTTTTCTGGAAACTCGTTCTTCCCTTTGTCAACCCTTCCCGCAGAGACCGTGCGGGAAGGTCGTCGCATTACAAAATAAAAAGCGAGCTTTTATGCCTACGAGAAGACACGTAACTTGGCTCTCGTATAATAATCTCGCGTTTTGCGCTCGGAATGCTCCTCGTCTTTCTTGTTTCTAAGCGTAAACAAAGTGCCGAAAACGCCGGAAAAACTAATCGCAGTTACGCATCCTCCCATGGCCACTGCGACATAAGCGCAGCAGCGAGATAGGGTGGGCTGTATGCTTAGGTTTTTCTGGTGGGGATGCAGGCAACAAAGGATCCGCTACTGCCGCTGCTGTATTTTTTCATTAACGGTCGCTTTGCCACGTGGAGTAGAGAGAGATAGAACGAGCGCGTACGTGTCGAAGGGGGAATACGAGAGATACGCACTAGTTTTTCGGGGGGGTTGCAGGTTCAGTAGGTCCCCCTTCCTCGTTCTTTGTGGTCCGCTCGTGTGCACTGCACGGTGTGTGCGTATGTGTGAAAGTGGGTCAATCGGGCGCTCGCGCCAACAGGACCAACTCCGAGGGGGCGAGAGATTTTTCGGGAGTAACGCTTTTTTTATCTTTCGCGGATACTCGGTTCAGTGTTGCGCGGAAAAAGACCGAAGCGAGTGCGCGTTCAGGTTGCGCGCACCCTTTAGGGATTTGTTTTATTGTGCTGCGAGTGAATCACCACGTAAGCCTACTGTTATAAGCAGATCAGTACACAAAATTGTAAAATTCTATTGGGAGAACAGCTAATGCTGATCCACTTGAATTGACATTGTCAATACGTTTGTTCGGAATACCATGCTTTTATTTGCCATGTCGCGGCAGAGTGTCCTTTAGTTTGAATAAAAAATAGTGTCTCTTATCGAACAAAGACATGCAGTCGTGGTTAAATATGAGAAAAACTCGAAGACGAGCCCTTTGCACAGAACAGGAAGAAGAAAAAAAATGGACTGAACCCGAAGAAAAATGTTCGTCATTGTGTGTCTCGGGGAGAGCACGCGGGTCAACTGGTACGCGCACATATGAATTCTTCCCTCTGTGAGAAAGGGAGGAGAGAAACTTGATCAAAGGCCGGAAAGAAAGAGCAGCAGTTACAGTTGGTGCGCGCGAAAAAAAGCTCATACAAATCCAGTTCTCTCTCTCGGTCGTCCATTCACGCAAAGGTCCCACGGTTGCATGCACCTGGTTATGTATAAACGATAAGACCCTGCGCGATTATTACTTTCTTCTCTTGCTTCGTCTCTGCTGGTTAGCGAAGAAGAAAAAGAAGGGGGTTTTCAGCGAGGTATTTTTTGCCGATCGATAGGCGGGCATCGAAGCACGTGCGGGGAAACAAAGGGACTTTCCCGCAAGGGTGAGCCGCGCTAGAGCAGGCATATGATGATTGCAGTGGCGCTCGATGGGAAAAGCTCGACGACACTAACGCTTTGTTTTGTAGGGGTCGGATTGGCGTTTTATTGCACTCCTGTTGCTGCTGCTGCTGCTACTGCTACTGCTTCTGCTGTTGCCCCCTTGATCAATGGACCGCTGCCGGCGATGGCTTTTATCCGTGCGATGTAGCGGGGGAGTTTCATCTATTGGCCATTGTTTCCCTAAGGCTGTGTATCGCTGCGGTGTTGGGTGCCAATCCGACTTTATCGAATAATATACTGTGGATTCACTATCAATTTGCGACCTATTAATAAAGAAGAAAGTCCCTTTTTTCATTGATGATTAAATGTTGACTTATTCCCGACGTATTCTCCTAATGTTGCTACAACTCAAAGAAAAATAAATGCAATGCTGCCATGCAGCCTCGAAGACGTATTTCATAATGTCCCTCGTAAAACGTTATACTGCAATAAAAGTGGCGTATACGATGGCAATAATCGTATCATCGTACAACCATACTAACTGGTCACTAATAAAACTGCCATACCAACAAAGGAAAAAAGCAAGCGGTTCATTATGAATTTCCATACAAAAAACTTCCTTCCTATTTGTTCCTTTTTTCGCATATCAAAGAGCGAAGACGTGCTCACATTCATATGCTAAAGCGACAATGAAATTGGCGCTGAGAGAAACGGATTCCCTACATATCTCACGGGCGCAACGAGGGGGAAAGAACGCCCTTCTAGCAACTCTTTCAAATTAAAATCCATGCGCCGCCGAAGAAACTAGACTCTCGCGGAGGCGGCTTTCCAAGCGATGAGTACCGCCTCTCTTTCTTTCTCTCTCTCTCTCTCTCTCTCTCCCTCTATCTCTATCTCTCTCTCTCTTTATCTCTGTCTTTGATGGTGTAACGGTCGAGATTGAGCGATTTCGATGCAATTTTTTTATTGTGCACGGGACTCTCGTTTTTGTCTTCATGGGGTCTTCATGGTATAATTTTACGAAGTACTTATTGGGTATTTTAAGACGTTTTTAAAAAATACTACTGATTATCTCGATTGCTGCGGCGAGTCAAAAGCTTAATCAGCTGAGATACAACGTAGAATGATTCGAGCTTATTTAAATCTCTATTTTAATTTATCAAGTAGATTATAATAATATGACAATAGAACTGAATAGCAAAATTAGGAATATAAGTTGAAGATCAGACTAACTCACTATACATTCAGTATAGATGCGCAAGTGATTGTAAAAATATTAACAAAGTATTAATGTAAATAGAAAATGATACTGACACAAAAGTAAACATTTATTCATTCTACAATCTATATATAAGCTTTTTGCCTATTGTAGCAAATTGACTTAAGTACTTTTCATGAAATATAAACTGATAGGCGAGTAGGTAGAAAATAGTCGTCAGTCTAACCTTGCATTGGAGCATTTCATAAAATCAATCGTTAATATGTTAATACGCAGATGAATCACAGTTTGTTTAATTCTAATAATTTTTACTATGTGTAACTATATTATATTATATAAACCCGTCGATCCAATGGGTCCTAAAATCATAATTGTACTGCATGAATTATATATATACATATATATAATTTTTTTTCGGAAAATCGGCGCTTCAAGTATAGATGCAAGTAGTTCATTGGAGACTTAGCAGAAATAATAAACATTACTAGAATTAAATAAACTTTGGTTAATCCATGTATTAATATATTAACGATTAGTTTCATGAACTATTAATGCAAGTTCAGATTAATGATTATTTTCTTCATACTCGCCTATTACTTTACATTTCTTAAAATGTCTCAGGAAGGAGGAGGAAAAGATATTTATATTACAGTTTAAGAAGCTGAGAAACACATTGAAGATAGAAACAAATTAAAATGGACTGAATGGAAAAAATTTTTCTTTTATTTATATTTTAACAAATTACATCTATTATTAATTAAATAAAAATTAATTTAAACAATAATTAAAAGTTAAAAAATTAGAATCCAATAGTTTATTCAATTACTGTAATTTATGAATCGAATTATAAAAAAAATTAATAAAATAATTGTTAATCTAAACTCTCCTCTTACCGATGCGAAAACAGCCCGACACAAATAACATTTTATAAAAAAAAATAATTACATCTCACGTATGTCTAATTGTACTTCTCGAAAAAATAATTATTTGTTATTGTACCATTATATTTCTCATAAAAAATAAAAAATATCGTTATCGATAATTCACCTCCTATTTATTCACATAAAAGAAAGATAAATTCACAGAAAAATTGTACCTTCTGTAGTCTAAATTGTACCATCAGTACAATTCAATAAATTTGTTTCTAAAAGAAAACATAGGACAATTACAAAGCTCTACGCCTGCGCAAAGTGCATTTCCGGATGACATCCTTGTAAGTTGTAACAATTAGTGGTAATTTGTAATCGTCCTATTATTTCTTTTAGAAACAAATTTATAGAATTGTACTGATAGTACAATTTAGACTACAGAAGGTACAATTTTTCTGTGAATTTATTTTTGCTTAATTATGTCTTATGTGAATAAATAGGAGGTGAATTATCGATAACGATATTTTTTATTTTTTATGAGAAATATAGTGGTACAATAACAAATAATTATTTTTTCGAGAAGTACAATTAGACATACGTGAGATGTGATCATTTTTTTTTAATAAATGTTATTTGTGTCGGGCTGTTTTCGCATCGGTCTCCTCTTGCAAATTTTATATCGAATATCACGCTATGCGATAATAAGTATATTGGTTGGTACTATGGTATGGAAACCTAACCTTAATTGATCATCAGTGCATTTCGTGGTGCGGGTGCACTGAGTGCGGGTGTGTGTTTATTTTTGTTAATATTAGTTTTAATAAAAGTAACAGTGATCAAAATGAATACACTAATGACAAGGATTATTGACAGGTATTATCTAAGAATAAAATATTATTTATGATCATTGAACAGTATTTTTTCCTTGAAAGTTCATTGATGTAGTAAAATAATAATTAGCGTTTGCGAGCAATTTTCAACATATTTTCAAATGTTTCATTTAAATTTTACTTTAGGACAACTATTAGAAATGCAGTTCTAAAGCTTTCATCATTATCATCTTCATCTGCTGCTTCTTCAGCAAAGAAAAAAATTGAGATTCAAATTCCAACAAGAATAGAACGAGGGCCAACGGATATACTAAAGGTACTTTTTAAACATTACTTTACTTTTTAACATTGGTACAGTCTGAATTGATTAATAGTTGTAATATTGCATATTTAATTTAGGCCTTAGATTCCACCATTCAGCGTGATACAAATAGTGCTGAATACAAATATATAGATGATCCTTATTTGATTCCAACGTCACTTTCAAAAAAGAGAACCTTTTCTCTTGCTAAGGAATCAGGCAAAAAAGCTGCAATGTGGGTACTTGAAGAACATGCTGATCTTTTGAAAAGCAATCTTTCAGAACCTTTAGTAAAGGTTTGAGTCACAATTAATTAATTTTTCAAATTTTTTATGAGGGTAGATATAATAATTTAAATATAACAAATCTTTCTAGGCATTTTTACCTCCAGAAAAATTTATGAATAAAAATGAAGTAACAGAAGATACTATTTACGAATTAATAAATCAAGGTCAATTTTCTCAAGCTTACAAAGTTTATACCATGCTGGAAAATGATGTTTCAAAGCAAACAAAGCAAGCTATTTTGGAATTATTGTGTTTTTACAACAGTAAATTGGATCAGATTCCAGAAAAATTTTTGGAAGAAAGATCATACCAAGTGGAAGATGGTAAACGACATTCTAAGTGGAAGTGAGTATCTTTTTATCATAAAAATTTGTTACAACTTTTCTTACAACAAAAGTTCAATTAAAAAGTTTGTCATAATAACAAAATCTTAAATTAATCAACTTTCTGAATGAAAATAATAAATTTATTTAAATTTTTTAAATAAATTTTTCAGGAGTTCTCCAGAAGTAGAAAAACTATTTGCAGAACTGTCCCAAGACAAAGCAACAGTTTCTGCTGCATACAATGCTGTTATCTGTGGAACAGCTAAGTACATGAAGGTGTTTTTTTATTTAACTTGATAAATCTAATCTCCTCTCTAATTATATATTTCATAATTCAACAGTTATAATTTTCTTGCAGTTTGACGTAGCATATAATTATTACGATAAGTGTTTAGTTGATAATATACCTCTGTCTGTCACATCTTTCAACTACATAATGCAATTAGTTCCTTTATTGAAAGATAGTACTGATACTCGAAAAATTTTAATTCAAAGTATTCTAAATACTATGATGAAGAGAAATGTTATGCCAAATCTACAAACGTTAAATGCTGCTTTATACAGTATATCAGTTATTCAATCTCAAGAGGCAGCAAAACAATTAGCTAAAGAGCTACTGGCAGAATTTAAATTGATTGGAATAAAACCTAGTCTTGGAAGTTATTATTATCTTTTACAAATTTTTTATCGTCCAAGTAAGTGACAAGATCATTATAAAAATTTGATACTTTTTTTATGTTAGTAAAGTGCAAAATAATTTGTGACTTTAATTAATTAATAATTACAGGTGGCCCAGGTAGTTCCATATTACTTGAAATTTTGGCAGAATTAGAAAAAAAAGAAGAATTAGAAATTAGAGATGTTGCTGACATAAATTTCTTTGTTCATGCAATGGAAGTAGCATTACAACATATGCACGATCTAGATGCTGGTCATCGTCTTCACAAGCTTTTAGTGACTAAAAATAATTACAGATTAATTGGAGGAAGATTGAAAGTACGTTTAGGTCCAATATGTTTTTTTTATTTTAATAAAAATGTTATATTTCTGTAATCATTTATATTTTAGGAAAGTGTTTACTACCGTAATTATTTACTGCTTATTTTATCAAGCATGTCATTTGACGAGTTTATGGGAATTTATAATCGTCTCGTGCCACACATTTATATTCCTGAACCAGGAGTAATGAGAGAAATCCTTGAGATGTTAGAAATCAATGGAAAAGACATAGCCATGGAATTTCTACCCAAATTCTTATCACAAATTATACAATTCGATATGTTAGATCGACATATGATTATGAAAGTAGCTTTCAAGCTTATGTGTAGTCACAAAATTATTCCAGAAAATTATCCAAACCTACAACAGCAGTATGCAAACTTTGCTTGGACGCTATGGACTCACATTGAAGTAAGTATCAATATATCTCTGTATTTCAAATCAACAATCACTTCTCAGAAACTTAACTTTTTTTACTGTATAGGAAGTAAGTACATACAGATTACAGCGACAACTATGGCCAGCAGATATATTTGGATACATGGCAGTTCTATTGCTTCGTAATAACGAGTTTGAGAAGATGCTGAAGGTTCTGAATTTTCTTGCTGAATCACGAGATGGTGTAATTGGTACTATACAAAGTAAATTATTGGAAGAAATATTCGAATGTTGCATCGTTCGGGGTCACGTAATAGGAGCACTGGTAAGTCAGTGGTTTTCTCTCACAAAATAAATAATTTTTGCAATTACCAAATGGCTATAATTTCAGGACGCGGTGAAATACGCTGAAAATTTCGGGATATTGGACGTCAATTCAATGGTTGAAACTATCAAAAAGAGTTTACCTATGAGTCAAAGTCAGGAAAAACAACTGATTAATATAGTGGGAGCTGGAAAATAATTTGTGGGCAAAGTTGCAAACGAATTACTGCATTATAGAAAGTCGTGAAATTTTGTAAAAATATATTATTTGTAAACAAACAATTAACTATGTAACAATCATATATAATGCAGTTATTCGAGCACAAAACAAACATTCTTTTTATATAAACTGTACCGTATAATCGTTGATAGTTTTTCACTTCGTCAAATCATGTAAATACAACATAGCACTTAAATTGTTACCTACGTTTAGTTAATTACATATAAAAAGAACACGAAATAAACTACGCAAAAATTTACAATTCGTAATATGTAGAGTACTTTATTCTCTCTTGGTCTACGCGCACTATCATGAAAGAAATTGAAATAAAATGCGTGATTGGCATGCTATCAATGTCCTTGTCCTTTGGAGCCGAACTCGCTTCTTCCATCTCCCCCCCTCTCTCTCTCTCTCATTCTCTCTCGGCGCTCTTTTACTATCGTATGTCTCTGGGGCTCAGTGATTAAGTAAATTAAGTAATACCATCGTTTGGTAGGCAGAGAGTAGTAGCCCATTGCAAGTTAAATGCCCATTTCCTGCATTGGGTCGTCGTCGTCGTCGTGGTCGTCAGCAGCAGCAGTGGGTAGAGCCCCCAACGTCCCGCTTTAAAGCTCGGCGCTCGAATGCTAGTCTAGTGGCGCGTTTCCTTGCGAGCTCTCGACACTTCGAGCCGCTCAAAGAGATCGCCGTTGCTTATTGCAGTAGGATCATGGATGACCAAAACAGAGTAAGTATTGATCATAAAATATATAAATTATTTTTTTTTGTAGCGCTGCAACGTGTTTATTTATGTATGAAGTGAGCCATTTCCCGGATGATCGAGGTGATCGAAAGTGCGTTTAAACTTGTGGATTTTTTGGAAACTCACGTTTTTTAGATTATCAGAGATCACCGATTTTATTAGTGTAAAAATAGAAAATAAGTGAGGAAAATCATATGAATTAGTGTTTTATTCATTAGTAAAAACTTAAATGTTTACTTTAATAATTACCAGTATTTTTTCCGAAACCATTCAAAAATAAATACGCATAAAATAAAATCCTCAGCTGTATACGTTAATTACTTATTAGTACAAGTCGAATAGGCGTAAATATTTTGCAGTATTTCATAAAGTTTTTTATATATGCGACGAGCCGCAATTGAGACCGGTAATTTCTCATTGAAGAATAGTTTTTGGCCCCTCGCGCGTAAAACAGAGCGGCTATATAACAATTTCAATATCATTTAGAGCTGAGGTCATAATAGGCATTGCATTGAATAGCTATGATACGGAAGAGAGAGAGAGCGAGAGAGAGAGAGAGAGAGCAAGATGATTTCGAATTAAATGCGTGTATGCTCAAATATCTCGGTTAATTAACAATTCATCATTCCGTGACCTACTGCAGCCGTTTACTTTTCTCCTTGTTTTTCGTTTACCAAAGGCGCTCGAAACAATATTCATCGTCCTACTTCTGTCAGAAAAAACATTCGTTCAGCTGACGATTCGTGAAGCCGTTCAATGATAAATCAAGCACGTTATAACATTACGTGTATGCGTATGCAACAATAGCGAATAGCGCAAGATAAATACAGGAGCACTCGTTTTCTGGTTCAGTTTCTGACCAGATTTTCAAAATCCAATGCTAATTTGAAGGAAAAACTGTAAGAAGTCGTACAGACGTCCCGAAAAAAGGATTCGACGTGTTCTTTTTAATTCGTAAATTGTCTGAAAATTATTCTAAGCTTCGTACGTGAGCGTCATAGATCACGATATCCATGTGCATTTGGCGTAGAAAAATAACGAGAGGGGGAAATTTTGACAAAACCGCAGAACGTGAGCGTGCGATTGGACCTGGAGATGATCCGTGAGCTTATCGCCGAAGAAGATCCAGACGTGGAGGTGCTGGAGTTGGACGAGTCGCCGGGCTCCGGGCGCGGCGATAATTACACGTCCATGCTGTACCGTCTGGGCGTAAAGGGCCGCAGACGCTCAAACAGCGAGCCGTGGGAGAAGTCCATAATCTACAAAGTGCTGCCAGACTCGAAGGAGCTCCGCGACGCCTACAAGAACGAGCTGCTGTTCATGAACGAGGTGGTGTTCTACACGAAAGTGTGGCCGGCTCTGATGGATTTGCAGAGCAACGGGCGCAGGGTCTTCGACGGGTTGGCCAAAGTTTACATCGCCAAGCCCGACTTGATTGCCATGGAAGACCTCAAGGCCAAAGGCTTTAAGATGGCCGATAGAAAGAAGGGCTTGCAGGTGGACAAGCTGAAAGCCGTGCTGAAAGCTCTGGCTGGCTTTCACGCGCTCAGTTTGACTCTGCGAGAGTCGAGGTAAGCGTCAGCCGCTACGCGAAGGCTCCGGGAGAGAAGGGAGGTTTGTCGTCCTGGAAAGCAGCTGGATCGCAATTCGAATCGATCGCAATCGACAAGCGACAAGCGACAAGCGACGAGCCACGAGCGACGAGCGCAGTGCCTCGATCGCGAGCCAGAGCACCGGTGACGACAAGCCTCCCGCTTGGTCCGAGCGCAAAGCCGCAACGCACACGGCGATGAATATCGAGCGCTGCATCGAAGGCCAGAGGTGTTCGCGAGGCTGTCGGGCAGCGACGCCACCCAGTCCGTGCAGGAGACGCTGTTTCGGGTGGAGAACGAGGACTGGTACCGGCAGTACTATCGCACGGCCACGTCCAACGCGCTGAAGATGGTCTCGGAGACGCTGCCGGCGGACGTGAAGCCGAGCCGCAGCGAGATCCTGGCCAAGTTCAAGGACTTCCTCGGCGAGGACAAGTTCTTCCGCACGATGTGCGAGCTGGCCGCGCAGCAGGGCCCGCTCACGGTCTTCTGCCACGGCGACTGCTGGACCAACAATTTCTTGTTCAAGGAGAAGACCTCGCACGACTCCGAGGTGCGCCTTCACACGCGATACTCCGAAGCGCCTGCCGCTTACTTGACGCGCGAGTCTCGCTTGTTCTGTTTAGCAGGCGGTCTGCCTGGTGGACTTCCAGCTGATGCGCGTCGGCTCGCTGGCCCTCGATCTGGCCTACTTGCTCTACTGCTGCACCACCGGCCAAGTGCGCAGAGTGTTCATGACTCAATTGCTGCAGCACTATCATCGCCACCTCATGTCCGCGCTCTACGTCCTTGATCCGGCTGCCGAGGCGACCAGAGATCCCGCCACCATGTGGAGCCTGTGAGTATCCTTTGAGCAGACGCGCTCCACGCGCTCCACGCGCTCGATGGGAATTCAATTGACTCGAATGCACGATTAACGAACGATACCGCCAGGTTGACCGAGGAGATGCGACGCTGCGGTCGCTTCGGATTGGGCTTGGCGCTCGATATCCTGCCGATCAGCACGTGCACGAGCGACCAGGCGCCCGATCTTTACGTGGCCCACAAAGACGACGTGCCCGATGAGGAGGGCCGAGCCTTGGCTCCACCGCCCGGCGGAGCGGAGTGTGCTCGCCTCATGACCGATCTGGTCGTCGAGCTCGTACGCAATCGAGCTCTCTAAACAAATGTTTTTCCCTCGATCGCCGAATCACCTTGTATCATAATGGCGTTATTTTACTAACAAGCAAATTGCCGTACGTTAGTTACTCTCTTTACGCACCGATACTTCTTTTGGCTCGTTATTTTGATAAAAACTTGTACGCAGCACTTGAGACACGTATACCCCATAGTAGATGTACCGTCTAGTCAGAAGAAAATCATCAATTGCTCGAGTAATCATTTTCTGTAAAGGTTCGAAACGAAGCATTCCAGTTAGTATTATGTCTACGTCTGGTATCATAAAATTTAATTAACAAATTAATATGCCAAAATAGCCTAGTTACATTGTACATAAATAATAAATACTTACAACAACTATTTTTCATACTTATTATTATCAATGTTAATTACTGTGAAGCAACATTACTCAAGGATATAGTCTATATGGATTGGTAAATAGATTGAAAATACGTAATTTTATTAATAGTATATTATATAGGATTGTTAGGTCGATTACAATTCTAATTACTTGTACTGCAAAGTGCAGAACCCGCAAAAATAATTCTAAATAAAATAATAAACGCCTGTTTTCACGGCCACTGTTCAGACCTTAATCATTATCCACTATCCGACTCGAGGAGATCGTCTTTCATAGTCCTTAAATAACATTAAATTCACATTTATTTATTTTCTCATTTCTTATACAAATAAGTTGACTCTCTCTTCTGCTAATAATTACTCTCAAAACAATATGAAGTATCAAATATGTGAAAAGCATTTAGAATTTCTATAAAGTTACATACTGATCAAACAAATTAATCCCTCTCGCAATCTCAATCATTCTCAACTTTCACTCACTTGTTACAAAAAGAAATTTAGTACAAACTACCCTTTTTTGTCGTTTAAATGTCCTCATTCAAATCTTTCTATGGGTCGGATGTTCACGTGAAAGTCAAGTTAAAATTCAATTGCACGTTCAGTGTTTGTCAAAGAAACGCGACATCAGTTGGTCTCGAATCTTACAATAAGCATTTAGGTGTCACCAAATGAAAAAATCTCTTAAAATGTTAAATAAAAACGATTTGGTATTGAAAAGACACAATTAACATAGTATTACAAAATTTGAGCCAGAAAGAAAAAAAATACTCTACGAGCTTAAGATCTGTAAAAAATATCTACAATAATAAAACGGAATGACACAGAACGCTGTCATTAACGCGCAATGATTATCCTTAGCTCACGTTTACAACACACGTCGGCCCAACACTCGCCGAAGAAACTCCAGCTTTCTCACTGTACAACTCTCATTTTCGCCACTGATCGTCGCTTTTACGCCCCTTGCTGTGGAGGTGTATGTGGCTGCTGCGTTTGTGGACTTGGTGGCTGTTGCTGACCTGGTGGTGGCACCGGTGGTTGCTGCATAATAGGTGGCTGTTGTTGACCTGGCTGCATCATTTGTGGATTGCTATTAGGCGGCCACGTTGGTGGATGATGGTTTGGAGGACCTTGATGTTGCTGTTGCTGTTGCTGCTGCTGTTGTTGCTGCTGTTGCTGTTGTTGCTGCTGCTGCATTTGTTCTTGAGCCAGTCGCTGGTGAGCTTGTTGCCTTGCCCTGAATTCAGCTGCTTTCAATTGTTCCAAATGGAACTGTTGACGTTCTGTAATTAACTGTTGGCGCTGATATTCAAGACCCTCGCGTTCGCGCTCCATTGTTGTCTCAAGTTCTTCGAAATGTCGAAGCTTGATCTCGAGCTTTTTCATTTGAGTCTCCACGAGAAGTGCTACAAGTGATTTAATTTTCCTTTCTTCTACAGCGGCCAGATGCTTGGCTTTGACCGCTGCTGCCGCCAGAGCTGCTGCTGCTGCCGACTGCAACTGTGCATCTCTAACAACCTGTGAAAATACAAGGAACATTCGTTTAATAATAACATCATCTCATAAATACGAATTCAAAAGCTTACGAAATTTGGTTCAAAGTAAATGTCAAAATCCATGAGTTGAAATAACATATTAATTTTTTTTGATTTACGAAATATAAATTGCTAATGAGAGAAGAGAACAGAAAAAAATTAAAAAATCTTTTTCGTTTTAATTTTAGAAAAGTAGAATCTCACATACAGACAAGATGAAATTCTTACTTTATCTTTCGGCTTCTCCTTGGATTCGGACGTTTCTTCGCCGTCAGTTTTTTCTTTAATTTCACTTTCTTCAGGCTCTTTCGTATCCATCTCCATTTTTTCACTTTCCAACTGTGGTGCTGCAGTATCTGTTGAAGCACCCATAGTAGGTTGCTCGTTACCATCTCCCTCGAGAGTTTCAGCCGCTTCTTTCTTCGGCATTGCCGTAGCAGCTGAAGGAGCATTGCCGTCAGCCAATGCTTCATTACTTTCTCCCGTCGATGTTTCTGATGCAGCAGCAGTAGTAGTATCAGCTTCTTCTTTAGGTTTATCGATGGCTTCAGACTTTTTGCCCTCGGGAGGAGTTGTGGCTGAGGATGGAGACGATGGAGTCGTTTGACCATCTTTGTTCGTATCTTCCGGTGGTTCGGGTGGTCCTGTACCTGCGATGCCTGATTGTGCAAGACCGGCAGCTGGATCGAATCTGCCTGAAAAATTAAAATTTTCAATCGTTATTGAACATCACAAAAATCTTAACACTTTGTTTATACATTAATTATTAAATAGAAAAATATAATAATCATATATTTCTCTATAAATGTACACTTACCATCAGCAACAGTAGCCTGAACATTTTTCAAATGTTGGTCGAGCAGAGCAGCAGGTACCTGGTCTTTAATCGCAGCAAACTCTTCCATGGCAGCCTTTGCTGCACTAGCTGCTACCCTGGGATCTACCACCGAAGCCAAAAATGCAACAGTGCTCATCACAGGATTACCAGCTTTGGAGAAAGGTATAGGTTGATATGCCAAGGGACCAAGACCTTCTGGTTCTTCCAAATATGGATCTTCAATAGGCAATCGCAGGAAATGCAGGATACATTCATCTTGAGTCCTTGAACCAACGTGCTCGCAAACCTGTAATATGTAAGAATTATTATAAAAGAATAAAAACCATCTCGTGATCTAGTATTGCAAACAATTTAAAAAATTTTGTATAAAAAAAATCTAAAGTTAACTTAATGTTGAATCGATTAAACATATAGTTATCCGTACCTTATTCCAATCATCCTTGTGCAATTCCAAAGCTTCAAGCAACAATAGTGTCTCCTGTTCTGTCCATTCACGTGTAGCACCAGCAGCTTGCTTATTTTTCAAAACAGGTGGCTTCCTCGTGTATTGGTCAAGCTTCAGACCAAAATTGGCCATTGCTCCAGCAACTGGAATTTTCTCGTCAATGGTGGGTTTCTTTTCAAGATCGAGCAATGTCTTTGCCGCTGATGGTTGAGGTGTTTTAGGAGGATTCGGGTTAACTGGAGCCAAGCCAGATGGTGTATCTGACAATACATGGAAGTGCGAAGTAGGTGGTGGTCCCATAGGTGTCGGCCTTGAATCAGCATCCACTTGATAATTGATCAGACCCCACTGCTCAAGAAAAGCGTGTACACGCATGATAGCGCACACATCACCAGCTAAATTGCGTCTGCAGGCTGTGGAGGTGATGTATTCGGTAGGATTGAGACGATAAGTGTCGATCATGAAATTTCTGTAAGCGAGGTAAATTTCTGGCGTCTTAGACTTGTTCTTGCCGTTGAAAAACTCTGAAAGCGCTCGTTTTTCAATCATGTGGATGGAGTTGTAGTCAAACCACGCTGAATAGCTCGGAATGACGATGTGATGGGTCTGCTCTGTGACGTTATCTTCAGGCTCATCACTCTTACTGCCGTCCCCTCTTTCCTTACTTGTATCACGTTCTTCCCTATCTTGCGAATTTTGCGAATTAGTTTTATCACCTGAAATTAAACATAAAAATAAATTATTATAAGTCTTCTGCTGGAATATTGATTGAAATATTCAGTGAAATTTTACCATCGACTGGTTCATCCAAATCAGCCATGTTTCCCGACTTAAGTGGCTGCATATCATTGTCCTGCTTTTTGCTAGACATTATTCCTGAGCTGCTATTCTGTCCAGAATTTGATGCGTTCGAATTCGAATTTATAACTTCTGTTATTCTAGGTTCTGATGGAGGATCCTCCATTCCTTGTGTAAGATCTTCTTCTTCATCTCCACCGCGAGATTTTTTCGGACCAGATATTCCTCCTTGCGTGCCACTAGGAGCTCTACCACTATGAAGTAATAAAAAAATGAATGTTTATCTTAAATAATTTATGAATATTAAGTTTTATTCATCTAAAATCTTACCTTTTTCTTTTACCAAGTTTTGGCGGTGGAGTCGGCGACTTTTTCCTCTTTTGCTTTTTGCCTGATGCAGGTGTTGGAGCCATTAAATCTTCAACTGAAAGTCTATATTTGTGCACTTTTTTCTGCCCACTATCATCTACTTCATAATCCTCTTCATTCATCCACTCATTATACTGTTCTAAGTCTAGAGCCCAATTAGCATTTACCTTATATGTCGACCTAAAAAAATACAAGTATTCATTTATTAAAATCAATAAAGATATAAATGTAATAGAGATGTAGATATAAAACAATTGTTAAAAATGTTTTCTACATACTTTGTTGGAGCACTACCTAAGCCAATTTCTGGGAAATCCCATGGAAGATCTATATTTGACCAAGAATCATAACTATCTGGCACATAATAGTAATGCATTAAAACTGCTCGATCCTTTCTAAATGCAGGTCTTGCATATTCTTCTTCATCGGGATCAAGTGGAGGATAAATTATATGAGTTGCATCACTTTCATTCTCGGTTAGAGTTCCTTGGTGTCGACGAATTATTTCTTTTACTTTAGCTGTAGTACTTTTATCCACTTCTGGTGTCACATATACATTGGGTACCGTTAAGCACCTACTCTGAACTAATGCTCGTTCAATAGCAGTAAGCATTTCCAGCATACGATCTATGCGAGTACCAGACTGAAATAAAGATAGATTTAATATAATTATTTTTAGGAGTCTTGATATATTTTTATGAAACAATCTTATACCTTTCCAACAGGAAAATCAAATCGCCTCCATCCTTGTTCTTGCTTAAACCTAAATGCTGTTAACAAAATTTGACATAGCCCACCACCTGACTTGAAATCTAAGAAACATTTCATCTAAGAAGAAAAATATATATTATGAAATTTATGAAAATCTTATTAAAATGTTATAATTTTTCTGAAAGATGTATACATACAGGGATCTTTATCATGTGAGGTTTAGTCACATTTTTTCCAAGATTATCTTCTTGAAATTGTAAAATTTGTACAACAAGGGTTGATAAGCTCTTATTTGTTGGTGGATCTGTCTGTATGTACTGTGAAGGTCAAACCTTATTAATTAATAAATTGAATCCATTTTGGACATTTGGTACTTGAATTGATACTTGACGATATTTGAATTGATTCAAATTATATGCAAAATATTTCGCTTTCAAAATTGACAATATTTATTTCATATTTTTTGTAATCATGAGTGTAGTAGGGCAAAAAAAATGAAAGAAAAAAAAGCCAAATCCAAGACGTGGAAGTAGTTAAGAGAATCGTTTGCGTACACAATGTAGACACGACAGGCAGCGCGACATATAGGTTATGCTCCCATTTTAACGCGTCCGGTAAATTATGCTTTATCAACTCACTGAAAATTTGCGATGATTTTAACTTGCAAATTGAACATAGAGAACGTAAATATACAAATAGATTATGAAAGAAAAATAGAAAATGAAGAGTAAAAGCTTGGATATCACAATGCCGGAACGCGGGAGGACGACAATGAATACTGACCTTTTTGGCATTTTTGAGAAGCCACTGCTTGACGGTGTCGAACTGCGCAAGGATCTCCGGCGAGTCAAAAAATTTAAGATTTGGGCTGCCGTCCTTTTTAGGGCCCAGCGACATCATCTTAACACGTTAATATTTCGCCCTGGGAAGTCTAGGACAACGCCGACACGCACTGACTGAAGAAACAACGCCGCTCTAAACTTCGAGTCGAGTGCTATGGATATGTGTGTGTGTATGCGCGCGCTTGTATATGTGGTCCCCGCGCTGACACAAACGTAAGGTAAGTGCGCGGGAAATTTTATCTTAACAAATGTTGCATTCTTACCACTCTACTCTTTATCATATTTCAAAATGGTCAGAAATATTTTATAAAAGAAGTAGATAATATTTATATGCAATAATAATTTTTAAAATTTATTTAAAAATCGCAATTAAAATCTTAACATTCTTTCGACTATCATAAGTCTAAGAAAAATAATTATGATAAAAAAAATGCTGAAGGTTACAAACCTTGTATAATAATAAACAAGATAAAATATTTCATATTATGTATACCTAATTTTTTTGCTTTAACTTATATACTCAAAATAACCTATCTCAGTGTATACCAATTCATTGATGGAATCCAATCGTAATTTTCCTGTGACGCTGTCGACTTTTTATTTTTATATTTTTTCTGTTATCTCATTTGTAAATATAATTAATAATTGTCAATTAAAATTTAATCTCAAAGTTATTGTTTAATTAAATATTTCTATATTTGATGTATCTTTTAAGTGGTGTATAAAGTGTACTGTTTATAAATATTCCCAATTACTATACTAGTTGCAAAGCATTTTTTTAAATCGTTTGTAAAATTGAATCGATGTTTTCTTCGCGCCTTTATGTGGCGCTACTGTACTGGCGCAAATTACGTTTGCGTTTGTATAGGACTATGTGTATGTGCGCCCCATTTCTCTGGCGACCCGCGGATATGGCCGCCAGCAGGATACGAGTATTAGTGAACGTCAGCAGAGCGGCGCTCTTGGTTCGGTGGAGTAGTGGTGTGTGATATACGTGTGTACCGTGGGTTAGAACCTGAGTGCAGACTGCAGAGTACACCGCGCGCTGCAGCCAGCTAACTCCTAGGAGGAAAACCGTGCCACCGTGCCGACCGATTGTCGTGCTTTCCTCCTGGACCCGTCCGCCTTGCCCAAGTAGGTTCTGTGTAGCATCGTCAACGTCATCGCCGTGGCCTTCAACTCGTGCTTTGAAAAGCTCGTGACTGTTGCGGCGTCGTCGAAACTCGAAGGGCGTAACCTTCTGCTTGAGCGTGTATTTTTTGAGCATACTTTAACATTATTCGCGGTGAATCATTATGAGGTTAAACCCAGCCAGCCTGTGGGTTATTTGAGCATTTCTTCATCGGAGCGCTCACGCAGCTGATGGGAGAGGGGTGCAGGCATAATTCTTTCACTCTCTTAACCTTTCCGCGAGTCGAGGAATAGCCAAGCATCTTGACGCAAGTGCGACGTGTCCCAAGGCTCTCGCGCTGCCTATCTCCATCTCTTTCCCGCTATTCGTACTTATCATCACGTTGTTTAACGTAAACAGTTGTCAGCACGTGAATTTGAGAGGCGAGTGACCACCTAGCAATGAAAAAAAATATCTTGAGTGCGCGCGCGTGTGTGCTATGAAACGAGTATGTGTGAGTGAGAAAATCACGAATTTCCGTCTCGCGCGTACACTCAGCTACGTGTCTTTTGTTGCAGAGTCATCGGGACAACGACGAGAGTTAGCTGCCTCAGTAGCAACACGTTGAAACGAGCGTTGTCGCCAACATAAGCCTGGAAGCATGTTTATCTGGGACTGGTTCACCGGGGTTCTCGGATACCTTGGTAAGTTTAACTTTTGGCTGACAAACTGATCTTTTTTTACGCGTAAACTGCTAGTTAATGCCAACCAGCTATATCGCGGTCTCAGTTGTTATATACGTACATTCTCCACTCATTTATTGTTGTCAAGCAGCACTCGTGAAATTTTCCATTGGATCGCGATTGTGGCAACTTCTTCCTACCTTTTATTTCGTAATCAGCACCTTTATCAAAGATAATTATTAGGGAGGTAAAATATTGATAAGGCCATAACTCGTAGAAAATGAACCATAATCATAATCAACTTCGTCTCCGGTGGAACACACGAGTTATGGGGTTGCTTATTATGGTTTTACTTCCCGTGATGTATATTCTATTCTTTATACCAGGGTGGTCCCGAAGTGCAAGTTCCCGCCCGCTGACACGAAAAAGTAATGATATAGATCATTACAACAATGTTAACATCACTGTACATAGAGTTTTATAATCTATTCCAAGGCCAAGAACTTACAATTTCTTTATCAAAGTATCTTTAGAAAAAGCACATGAGTATCACTTATCTCACTACTGAAATTGAGTATAAGAAAGATAGTTCTAATGGCATATAGTTTGATTATAGTTTCACCTTTAGAAAATTTAAGAATATAATATTTATGAATAGTTAAAATAGAAGCATTTGCTTTAAAATACATTTTCAACTGTCCGTGAGAATAAGGTATTATTATTTTGGCATAGACACATAAATGAGATATACAAGATCTGTAGGTTTCCAAGTGCCAATATGTCGTGGAAGATTTGCTATTCTTGGCTTATCCAATTCTGGTCGCCATTCATTAGTGAATACATCAGTTGCTGAAAATTTGCTAGACCCAGTAGCAGTTGAACCTCAGTGTAAGTAGATTTGTGAACATATGCATGATGTTTGTGTTATTCGCTTTACAGGCCTATGGAAGAAGAGTGGTAAACTGTTGTTTCTTGGACTGGATAATGCTGGAAAAACAACATTACTCCACATGCTTAAAGATGATCGACTCGCACAACATGTACCCACATTGCATCCAAGTAACTAACTTTTATACTAACTGTTATATTACTTTAATGAATTATTAAATAATAGTCTTAACTACTTTTGTTAGTTTTATATTGAGTATGAGAACAATAATATGACTGTTGATTTTATAAATTTTATATTATGTTATTCTTAGATGCATAGTAATAAAATTTAAAACTTAAAATTTGCAAGCATTAATATCCAAATACTTAATTCTAAATAATATTCTTTCTTTGTTTCAGCATCTGAAGAATTATCTATTGGTAACATGAGGTTTACAACCTTTGATCTTGGTGGTCACACTCAAGGCATGTACACAGTCATTGATATCTGAATCACTTGGTGATTTGTATATTTTGTTATTCATTTCCTTCATATCTTATAGCAAGGAGAGTCTGGAAAGACTACTTTCCAGCTGTAGATGCAATAGTTTTTTTAGTAGATGCAAGTGACAGATCACGGTTACCAGAATCTAGAGCAGAGTTGGATGCCCTCTTGACAGATGAGCAACTGAGTGCGTGCCCAGTGCTTGTTCTTGGTAACAAAATTGATAAACCAGGTGCAGCATCTGAAGATGAACTTAGACAATTCTTCAATCTTTTTGGACAAACGACTGGAAAGGTTATTACTGTTTATTTTAGTTTAATTGACAATTCATAGTGTCCATCCATTAATATTTTCGTTGATTGTAGTACAACTAGTAAAAAATAATTTTTAAAAGTGATTGGCTATTTTTTGTTTTAAAGTTAAACTTTTGTCATACAGTGTCTAAGAAAATGACAGTTTTTATTTCTATAATTTTAGGGTAAAATTCCACGCAGTGATATTGCAGGCCGCCCATTGGAATTATTCATGTGTTCGGTACTGAAGAGGCAAGGCTACGGTGAAGGTTTTCGCTGGCTTGCGCAGTACATAGACTGAACGCACGTAACGGAAATATACACTTCAACTCCCTAGTAATTCATAATTTCAAGTTTCGGTACATTCTTCATACGAGGCGTTAGTACGACAGGATAAATTTAATTTTTACGGAAAAATCGATATCGTTAATTAGATGAGGTGAGGGTTTTTGGTGAATTCAAAACACAAGTCAGGAACATTGTGTATGATGGTGGTGATGATGATGACGCTGTTTAACTGTAGTTGTAAGATTGATTCCTGTGGTATTAAGGCCGCCACGACTCGAGATAATTCTTTACAGTGAAAATGAATTCTAAAGAATTCTTTGAAATTTTTATTCTAAATAAAAATCTACTTCAGTAAAAACTGTCGCACGCTAAGGAGTGGTTGAAACATTTTGATAATGAAAATCGCTAATAAAGTAATTATTTAAGAAGTCCAGATATCTTTACAGCTTATTTTATTACATATGCTATAAAGCAGATTATAAGAGTTTTAAATGCTTTCATAAAGTTACTTTTTTATCCATAGAATACGTAATTCGCAACAACTTCGTTGCACATACACGTTATTGATTCGTGTTATCGATTGTAAAATGAAACCTAAATATTTTTAACGTACTAATAATTTAACTGATATTAAATGTTGTTTACTACTTTTTATTGTATCAATATTGTTTTAGTTCATTAATTCAACAATGGATGACATTCACTGTTTATGGTATTTTTCAAAAACTTTGGGATTTTGGTTATAGTACACATACTTAGATTTATAAAAAAAACCTAAATTCATTTTTCAATTCCAATTTCTGACAACTTATTTGAAGATAGTTAAACTATCACATAAATTTTCCAATTATAACGTGGAACCATTTCTATTTTGCGTGAGAGACATCTAATTTTAGCCAATTTTCTTGATTGTTACTTTAAACAAACGAATATGCGAGTGAGTACACGAACTAGCAAGAATTATTGTAAAAAGACAATTGATGCTTTATGTTGATTGTGTGATTGATTTACTCAGTAATGACTGATATATATTTGTGCATCTGCAATAGTTATAAGGTACTTAACGAGCATTATTTCCTTGGTTCATTTTACATGAATAAAAATAATGTTTTATACTAGCAGCATTTAATTTGTCTATTTAACTAACAATTAATATTGCCATAAAATATAAACATTTAATTTGTAGAGGTGAAATGAAAATAGTCGACGTAAAAAATATATAAAACTTCATTTTGTACACTTTTCAACATTTACAATTTAGAGATTACTAATTCAAGTTCGGCATGTAAAGGTTCGAATCGAGATTTCACAAATGTATTTGATACCTCCTCCAAAGCTCTAGGATTCCAAATTGGATTTTGATCTTTATCTATCAACAGCGCTCTTACACCTATGAAAATATTTTAGTAATTAACCAAACCAAGTACAACAATGACGTCAATGAATTTACCTTCAGCAAAGTCACTGTCTTTGTCAAGGCTGTGATAGGCAAGACGATATTCCATAATTAAAGCTTCCGCTAAACTCTTTTTGCTACCTTCTTCAATAGCTTTTTTCGTTATCTTCAACGCAGTTGGCGACATTTTATGTAACATTGCAACGAGGTTCTTCGCAAATTCTGAGTTTTTTTCCTTAAGCCTGTTCACAATTATATGGTTGAGTAACATAGTTTTTTTAATTTTACGTAGGCGTTTAGAAAAAAATACCTTTTAATGATGCCTTCAACCGTAGGAGTAGAAAAACATTCATTTATTAAGTCGATGTGTGGAGCCAAACTGAATTTTTGCTTTACATTTTCAAGCAAATAAGGTTTCAAAACAGCATCAATATTCGAGTTTTCCGACAACAATTCGGTTGTTACATCCTCGAGTTTATCGGAAGACACATAATGAGTGGCGATACCAGCATGTAGTACATCGACACCTTTGAAAAATAATAATAATAATAATCAGTATTCGTTTGATAAATGCACAGGATTTGAGGATTATTACCTTTCAATCGGTATCCTGTTAATCCAAGAAACATGCCAAGTTTACCCTGCAGTCTCGGTAAGAAATAAGTACCTCCGACGTCGGGAAACAGTCCGATAGCAGTTTCGGGCATGGCAAATAAAGTCTTCTCGGTGGCAATTCTATACTTGCCGTGCACAGACAAACCGACACCTCCCCCCATCGTTATACCGTGGATAAGCGCAACGTAGGGCTTCTTGTAAGTGCCAATAAGATGGTTTAAACTGTCGATGATTCCAACGTTTGATAATATTTACGGGAATGTGCTTTTGCTCAACAGGCGAACTCACGTGTATTCTTCTCTAAAGAAGTTTTCACCTAATTTGGATCCAAAGGGTTTGCTCAAAGGAAGGACTATGGACTTAACATCACCTCCGGCGCAAAAAGCTTTATCACCTATTCCTTTGATTATTACTAAATCCTTAGTACTTTCCCATTTTTTCAAAACTGGAAAAATTTTCTGCACCATCGACAAATTCAAAGCATTGAGGGCTTTTGGACGATTTAATGTGATCACTCCGCTTTTACCCACCTATTATTTTTATATGTATTATCGTTATAGTTGATTCCGATTTCGTGGAGCTTACGAATTTATATACTACTTACATCTTCAAAAAGAACATCATTTTCTTCTTCTGGGGTAGGAGCTGCAATATTTTTGTTACAGATTGTTAGTATCTTGATTAGAATTTTTAAAATTAATAAAATATTTTTAGCTTTTTTGATAAAGTAAAAATAAATTGTGTTTATTTAGTTTGAGACTTTGTATTTGATGACAATAAAAAAGTAAAAGTCAAACAGAATATCATAGAATAACTGAATTTTGAGGATAATCAAACAGCAAAAGTACTTAAATGCGATACCATAACACGCATGCAAAGTAACTGTAAACAATAGAATAACTACCTGTTTCACTTTGCGCGGAAAACATTCTGGAAGAAACGATAGTTCTGCCCATGTATTTCAATCTCAAGGCTGCGCTTTTGATCTATACGATTACAAAAACCATCGCGCATAATCAGCATAATCGGTAGCGAAGATGAGTTGACTGATTTTTTATTCACTCACCATTATTTCCGGCGATGTATGAAACTCTAACCAACAGAATATCTAAAAGTTTCAGTAATTATGCTAATTGATTTTAAATAATTCACGTGATATCCAACTTGGCACTATAACTGTAGTGAATGTGGCACAAGATATAGGTTAAGTTCGATGTAACAACAGTGTCGATCTCAATGATTTAGAAATTAAGTCTCTAATAATCGTGTTATTAAGTAGGAATACCGGCTAACTGAACTATCATAAAATGCTCCCTTTTGCCAGTCACTCATATGGCACAACGTGCATGCTCCGTCTTGTGTTCGTGCTGCAGCTGGTTTAGCTGGGTTTAGCGAACTTTTACTCTATCTACTGGCAGTTGGTGAAAATAGAGTGATACGTGGGTTAATCGGATCTTACGAGAGATAATGATTAAACAGATAAAAAAGCGAATAATTGACGTCTAAAGTTTTTTAAAATAAAATATTAATAATATTTTTTACTAATTTTTTTCAGACACCTTTAGTTAAACCTTTGGTCCCTTATCAAAAGCTTGCGCTTTACGTTAGTATTTTCAATAGCTATTTTTGCGAAATTGGTGAGATTTTAAACAAATGTATGTATTTTTGGAACAGAGAAGCACTCACTCATCAAATGCTATTGCAAATTGTTCGAATTTTCCGATAGCAGCTTGCGTAGCTCCGATATTACCGGAAACATAAGTTATAACGATACCGGTTACTAGTGGTACAGTCGTCGCCTTTGACAATGATGTTTGATAAAACAACAAAAAGAATAGTTCAATCCAATTAGTTACGCCATAGGTTATTTGCTCATTGCTTCCCTTTAAACTGATATTCGGTTAACCGAAGTAACGTAACATCTCTAATATTTGCACCGCCACTTCTGAAAAATGAAAACTTTCTACAAGTAAAAAGTACGATATCTATTGTCATTGAAGAAGTATGAATTTACCGTAGGAATTCCTTAGAAATGGAAAGTAAACAACTGCGATTACTGTATAAAAGAAATCTAGATTGAGCACGCGCAAAAGTACGAATATCTAATTTTACAGAACCATCTGCAAAGTAGCAGCAGCGCTTGCGTGTTGTCGCTTTAATGTCTTTGTTTCATATTTATGCACACCATGCTTTCCACGTGTATATCAGACTGTAATTAGTACAACAATTAAAACAATAGCAATTTTACGATTAATCTTTATTTCGAACTGTAGCAAGTCTTTTGCATTTAAGTTTTGTGCATATCTATGGAATAATTAAATGCCCTGACTGCGAGATGTTGCAATAATTGAACGAATACACGTTAATTAGCAAATTAAGACATAATATTATTCCGATCAATACGTAATTTATTAAAATCTGTATAGAAAACATTACAAATGAATAGGGTTAACATTTTTACGGACAACTATTCATTGAATAAAAAAAATTTTTGCTGTAAATGTGGCCTATCTGTGTATAACTTTGAATTTTAGCAAAAAACATTTGGTAGGGACAATCGTCGCGAATCTGGATATTACACGATTCGCTTATCATTTGCTATTGAAGGAGAATTACGCTATACATAATTATGCTCGCGTTTATGTATCCAGCGACCTTTCTCATAAAAAAATTAATTGACTCTCAATTACGTCGACAGAGGTAGACTATATAATTTTCGAAGCGCGATTTGGTATAATCGAGTATAGTCGGTGAAAAAAGTCGTAGTACTTAAAATAATGGGTAGTTTTTTGGAGTGAGAGAAAGAGTAAAAAACGTGGCAACAATGCGGCAGCCAGTAGAACTACCGGGGAATGCCATATATATTTTCGATAGCGCGCTAGAGGACATAGCATTTCAAAAGTTTTGGCGCCACTGAAAATCGCCTGTCGATTGGCCAGGGCCAAAATGTCGGAAGTTCATTTCCAATCTACGTGGCGATTAGCGAGAGCGGAGTTAGTGAAGGGTATCTAGTGCGCAGAGTGAGAGAGTGAGAGAGAGAGAGAAAGAGAGAGAGAGAGAGAGAGAGAGAGAGAGAGAGAGAGAGAGAGAGAGAGAGAGAGAGAGAGAGAGAGAGAAAGAAAGAGAAAATGAGAGAGAGCGTGGCCGCTACTATACACGGGCAGAAGTGAACAACGTGCAGCTGCAGCGTGAGTGCGTGCTCTGACCAACGCAGTTTCCGGCGGACTTTTCTATACGCAGCCAGTTACACGAGAGCCAAGTTGTGTGCACGCTTGTAGAGCAGGCTCAGGCACGCAGCGAAAACGGGTTAACGGTATAACACGCACGGTGAGAGCGCTGCTCCCGCAGAGAGAGAGAGAGGAGTAGAGTACGAGTGTGAGGGACAGGGGCAAAGGAGATAAAGAGAGAGAGAGAGAGAGAGAGAGAGACAGCGCGAACGTGACGAACGCGAACGAGCGAGAGGAGTGAGTGAGTGGTGAGAAAGAGAAGGTAGGAAGGAAGGTCTTCCCCGCGATGGCGAACAGCGTAGCGCCGGACTCGTGGGAGCAGCAGGCTGACTGCGACGAAGCGGCAGCGACTAAATCCGTCGAGAGCAAGTTCTCCACGCTCAACGTCAACGCTGCCGAATTCGTGCCTTCGTTTTGCATGCCGGCGGCAGCTACAACTACTCCTGCAGCTGCCACTACACAGCAGTTCCAACCATCGTCGGACGAGCAGCCACAACCAGTAGCAGCAGCAGCAGCAGCAGCACCAACGGTAACGACTCCACAGCAGGACCTTTCGCCAGCCGCGCCCGACATGCCGCCCGAGACCCATCACGGTGAGTATACCTTTACGCAAGCACGCCTCGTGCTCTGCACGTCCTGCTTTTTGAGGTTGGGCCACGCAACATCGGGGATGGCAGCTTGCTCGTACATCGTGGCGCCCGGCTATCGCACGTAGACAGTCAGACTCTAGAGGGTTAACTTAAATTTCTCCATTTTCATGCGCTCTCACTTTTGGACATTTTGAGGGAAACGCGACTTCATGTGTTCTTGGCGTATCGGGCTCTCTTTTCATCGGCGCGCGCGCGCTCTCCCTTTCTCTCGTATGACCACTATCTATCTTTTTCACACACGCGTGCCAAGTTTCATTTTTCCAACTTAACCGAAAAATAGAAATTTATACTTATTAATGTTATCTAGCCAAATAATCGTGCCGTCGGGGTGTACCAATGAAAAGAAAGACTGCTTTGCTTGTGTAGTTTGCCTGTTCCATACGTTCAATATTCGTAATGCATATTTACCGGGACGAATCACCAATGTTACTCGTATTAAATTTTAGGAAGCAACTGTTACGGTTTCAACGTTGAGAATAAGCTATGTACCATATTGTTCTATATTTTTGCAAATGAATCATTGTGCTCTCACATGTGGAATTAATTGTACAGATCTGTAGATTTTCCTTGATACCTTTACACACCGATTGATTGTTACCTACTTGAAAGTCGATCAATCAATGGATAATTACTGATTTTCTATTGCTCCACTGAGAATCGATCAAGATCTTTTTAATTTTCTAAATTTCCAACTTCCTCATCAAACATATTTTTCTTTATTGATTTAGAGATATTTATATAAGTAATTTTGGCTATGTGATTAATTCTATTGAATGTAAATTTTTTCCTTTTCTCATTCATAATTTTTTGTGAAATTGTTGAATGTAACCTACAACAGGACAGTCTTTGATGAGTTAATAATCTATCTAGCAATATAAAATCAATTTAACTTAATTTAAAAATAACCAAAACCATATTGTGTGTTAAATGTAGACACAGACACACCAACAGTTCCACCTGACCCAGCTGCAACTCGAAATGAAGAGCCACCTGCTGGAGGAGGAGCACCGCCTCCTGCCAACTCAAATGCAGGATCTACAAATGCAAGTCCTGAACACCAACCAGCAGACTCATGGGAAGAGGCCGCAGTGGATGGAGATCCCCTTCTGACTCCCGAAAATGAAGAGGCGAGTAGAAAAAAATTAGCGCTTATGTAACATATGCTTAATAGTGTTAATGCAATACTTGGAAGGTTTGATAAAAGCTTGTGACTTCAAGAACTTTTCAAATATACAATATTAAGATAACAACAAATTTCTTATAAATAGTTCACTTTTATATTTAGCACTCAGAAATTGTATATTTTTTATGTTGCATAAATGAGTAGAAAAATAATTCTTGATAACTGATTCTCTAGTCAATTGCTTTCTGATATATATTTAACAATATTTTGTAATTACAGGCTGAAGGTGATATTGAAGAAGATGAGGAAGCGGTAGTGAGAGTGCCAAAGAAGAAAGTCGTTAAAGTTGCAGAAGACACAAAGAGTAAAAAAGAGCATGTTAATGTTGTTTTCATTGGTCATGTAGGTGAGTCGGTCAAACCTTAAACTCAAATAAGGGCTTTTAACAAAATATGTAAATGAATTAATTTTTATTAATCTAATAGATGCTGGAAAGTCTACGATTGGTGGTCAAATAATGGCACTGACAGGAATGGTGGACAAAAGAACACTGGAAAAGTACGAAAGGGAGGCAAAGGAACGAAGTCGAGAGACGTGGTACTTAAGTTGGGCATTGGACACCAACCAAGAAGAGCGTGAAAAGGGAAAAACAGTGGAAGTTGGCCGGGCATACTTTGAAACTGAACGCAAGCATTTCACAATACTTGATGCTCCTGGTCACAAGAGTTTTGTGCCCAACATGATTGGTGGTGCTGCTCAAGCTGATCTCGCCGTTCTTGTGATTTCCGCAAGGAAAGGAGAATTCGAGACTGGATTTGACAGGGGCGGGCAGACTAGGGAACACGCTATGCTTGCCAAAACCGCCGGTGTCAAGCATCTCGTCGTTCTCGTCAATAAGATGGATGATCCTACCGTTGAATGGGATGAGACGAGATATAACGAATGCAGGTGACTTTTTAAACTCGTTTTTATTTTCTTGCACGCAGTTACTGCCATTATCTTTGAGTCACTTCTGACCTCGACGTGATAACTTTATAAATGAAAGCTTATTCAAAATGAATAATCTAATTGAGACAAAACTAATTATATAATTTTATTTTCAGAGACAAAATTTTACCTTACCTCCGTAAATTAGGATTCAGTCCTTCAAAGGATCTCACATTTATGCCTGTCTCAGGTCAACTTGGATTGGGATTAAAAGATCCAGTTTCCGAAACAATTTGTAACTGGTACAAGGGTCCAGCTTTCATACCTTTCATAGACTCTCTTCCTTCGCTTAATCGTAAGAATAATGGACCATTTATCATGCCTATTGTTGATAAATATAAGGATATGGGCACTGTTGTCATGGGTAAAGTAGAAGCAGGTGAAGCCAAAAAAGGACAATCGCTTCTCGTGATGCCTAATAGGGTAAATATTTTATCATTGTTGCAGATATAATTTTGTTTTTAAAATCATTGAATAATATAATTATTTTGTTTCCTAGACGGCAGTAGTGGTAGACCAGCTGTGGTCTGACGACGAGGAAGTGACGTCGGTAGGACCAGGTGAAAACGTGAAAGTCAAGTTGAAAGGTATCGAAGAAGAAGACGTGAGCCCAGGATTTGTTTTATGCGATAATAACAATCCGATTAAAACGGGAAAAGTCTTTGACGCCCAAGTGGTCATCCTAGAACATAAGAGTATCATCTGTGCTGGTTACAGTGCCGTGATGCACATTCATTGTGCGGCCGAGGAGGTCACGGTTAAAACTCTGCTTTGTTTAGTGGATAAGAAGACGGGTGAAAAGAGCAAGACGCGGCCGAGGTTCGTCAAACAAGATCAAGTCGCGATTATGCGAATTGAGTGTGCTGGAGTTATATGCCTTGAAATATTTAAACTATTTCCTCAGATGGGAAGATTTACCCTCAGGGATGAAAGTAAGTCAGCCAATCTACTATTAAAACATAATTCAAATCTATCTTCGTATTTTATTAAAGTATTCACATTCGCGATTTCGATTAGAAGTTATACAACAAAATTTAAACAGTGATTTCGAAACGTAATATAATTGCAATGTTGAAAACGGGTATTTTAATAATAATATTTAAGAATTACGTTGTAAGACGAGTATTGTTTCATGTAAACATTTTATTTTTAGATAAAACAATTGCCATTGGCAAGGTGCTGAAGGTATTCGAGTAAATCAGCTCACTTTTTGCCATGAAGAGGGGGAACACTTACAGTGTGACGAAAATGTGAAAGCAACGATAGGAAGCTGAACACTTGGTATAATAATAAAAAATAAAGAAAAATACAGCGGTCACGTCGATTACTCGTGGAACACTGACATATGTACACATATACTGTCGCGTACGCACTTACACTCGACACCAATTTATACCTTACTGATGAGATTTTTGGATCGGAATAAGTAAAGAGGTAAATGCGAATTATATATATTATATATACGAAGAAAATATATAAAAACCTGAAATCCAGGCCACTTTTAATCGCATCAAATAGGAAAAAATGTCGATTGAAGGCTGCATGGTTTTCTTGAGAAACAACATTTTGAGCGTTGAGTGATATTTCATGTAAAGGGATATTAATACATAATGATAAATTAGTAACAAAGTTTTTTCAATAACGTGAAGACGATATTTTTGTTTTTCAGAGTTTCGCTAATTAAACGTAAAAAAAATATTATCGACGAAAAAAAAACATTACTCTAAGGGTTTATTATTATTATTAATATTATATTGATTATGATTATCTTGAATTTGATGGGTAAGCGAGGCATCTCGCTTCAATTAGTTAATACCTCACGCAATGTATGATTTATTTTTATCATATTATTATCATTATTAATAATAATTATTATTGTACTGTTTCTTATTTTATTGTCATTAAAAAACGAAAATGAGAAAAAGTCTATTTTATTTTGTTTTCAATATTTATGGTTTTCAATGTCTTGGCCTTTCATTTTGTTAACAAAAATAAAATCATATTTACAATCAACTGTAAAAAGACTTGAATGCTCACTTGTTATAAAATTTCTGATATTTCTGGAAAATGCATATAAAGCAGTGAATGGGATAAAAAACGGTACTAAGTTTCGATTCACATTGCAAAGTGATAGACGATAAAATTTAGTCTCAGCAAGCTTTTGTTTAGGTGATCGTCCCAACAGGCTTGTTATAAATCATGCGTAAGTTGCCAGTGTAAAACTTTTTACTATTGCCATTTGTTATTACGCGTGACTAGCGTTTAAAAGAATTTTTTGTTCATGAACAACAAAAGTGCGTTTTTAATGATTCATTAAACATTTCACGCAAAGGTTTTTATCTTGACATTGTATAAGACTCGTAATTTTCTGATTTCGCCGTTGTTGGATAATAATAAGTAACTATAATCGTGTTTTAACTATAATTTCTTTGTATAACTGCAAATACGTTCATTTATACTGTTTTTTGTAAAATGACGAATCGGAGTATATTTAAACATCACTCTTTAATGCTTCGTATTGCTAAAGAGTGAAAGAAAAATGGATTAGTTTTAGAAATTCAGATTGAAACCTTTGCGTTTGTAATTATAATAACAATAGTGATAATTGAAGAAAAAAATGAAATTCTCCGCTCGTTCCAAAGTTTTAGATTGTGATGGCAGTAAAAGTAAAGGAAGAGAAAATGAAAATATAAATAGTGTAATCTGGAAATATTTGTAAAGTATGTGGATCGGATTACGGGCCCATTGTTATTATTGAATATTATTAATTGAACTAATATTAGTTGATACAATTGTGAACTACCAATAATGCTAAAGTTTAAAATACAGTAGGGTGCGATGGTAAGAAATTAAAAATAAAATAAAAAAATTAAGAAAGATCTATAGAAAGGTTTTACAGTAATGAAAACGGAATAAGTAGATTTCCGAGAGGCTTAGCACACACAACAATCCGAGGTCACATGTATATTTTTATATATATAATTGCGCTAACAGTCAAGTCGGTCGATTCAATTTATTTCATTCTTTAAACACATACACTTCACTTCGTCAATCGTAAAGATGTGCTGTCCTAACGTATTCGCATTGTCCCGATACATTCTTATTGAAATAGATTTATTTCAAACGAATGTGACGAGGATGAAGCAATATACTACGAATTTTCGTATATTATATAATTTTCTTCATTTACAAAAAAAAGTGTAAAGCTATTTTGAGTAAGTTTAAAATCATGTAAACTAATGGTGTCCTTATTATTAAACAAAAAGAAATACATAAGCTTCCAATGTATCGGTGAACACTTCTTTCTACACAAAAGCAAAATTAAACATTTAAATGACAAATGAAAAAAAAACTAAGAAGACACACGTGTCTCTTGAAAATAGAATTATATTGTAAAATGCAATTTTTATGAAATATATAACAAGAACAATACTATATGGTACGAAAAGGATCCTGAACATAAATTTCATCGCATACATCGTCGCAAGTCGTAGCTTTCATGCTGCCTCGTCTATATCATTGTTTCGTACGCAAAAAATGAAAGCTTTTAAAATGCATTTTAATGTTGTAAATAATAAAGATATTTTATAGCAGGAATTTTTTGATATTTTTTTCTTCCTTCTGTATGATTGTATTTGTTTATAGATAATATCAAGCCGTTAATATTTTATAACGTAGTATTTAACAGATACTACTTGATGTTTATAAAAGTAAGACGATTATTATCGTAATTTAGTTTTAAAAAATATACGTAGAGATGTATTGTTTAAACAAAATTTTTTATTCTACAGTAGAATTTTATTATTTCTTACAATAAAATTAAATGTTTATATATATTTATTTCAATTCTTAAATATTGTTCAACAAAGTAGTATTAATTTTAATATAAAATAGTTACATGTTAAACAAAAAGAGATTCTCATTCTTCAATTACATGAAGAACTTATGAGGAAAACTGAAAATATACAGATAAAAGAAGAGAGATAGTTATAATAAAAAACTAGTTGTCAATCTGTTGCTCAATCCTGGTACACGTTCGATGTTCGTTGTTCGACGTCTGGTGTCTCCTTAAGTAGAAAGTCCCTTTGTCTAACTTTCGTTAACATCCAAGTGAATTATCTACGTTGAAATTAAAATAAGTAAGACAAAAAACATTTGGTTCATTTGAATTATAATTTTCCTTACTCTGATTTTTGAACAATTATTTATTATTAAATAAAAAAAAATTGTTTTTACAAAGTAATTCAATATTTTTCAATCAGGAATAATACTAATATTCTTCCCTTTTTTTAAGAATGTAGAAGTATTCTTTCCCTCTTTAACTAAGCCATATCGTACATATGTTAATAATAAGTTACGGATTATGCGTTTGCGCAGTTGGTTCTGTAACTTGTGAATATATCGTCAGTAAGCAGAACGTTATCAGGTTTTATCAAATTTATAACTCTAATATTTCAAATTAAATATTCAATCGAACGTTCTCGTCAAAATGTTTAAAATCGTAAATACCGTGACGATTTTGTTGTATTCTGTGTGTTTAATTTAATAATAAGAAATCACAATGCATTTTTCTTTTATCTACTGGAAGAATGGGTGATAGTGAACTGTTGCACACATCAATAATGAAATGATAAGAAACAATGCATAAACTGTCTTTAAGACGGATTCGTCGTAGATGATTTAGTTTACAAAATGTTTTATGATAAAGTATGCTGTTCTTTAGCATCGATTGCCCTGATCTTTGTAATCATTACCGTTATTTTTGACAGGTTAGTTTTATTGTTTCTACTTGTATCAATAGAGTTATTTTTTTTATTGTTATTTAGTATAACTTATTATATTTTTTATAATTTCAGCTTTTTTTGGGCAGTTTTTCTCTCTGCTCTGTACATAATTGGATTATTTTGGGGAGTACAATTAATTTCATTTATTCAAAGTACTTCTACTTCAAGCAGTAACACTAAGTCCACCAATGATGAATTATGCAGAGTTTGTGGTAACAATCAGTGTAAAAGGCATAGCAAATTACCACATTTAAATCCTATACCAAAAGTTCCAAAGGGATTTGATGTGGCTTTAGAAAATGTAAGCTTTGTTTCAAACAATTTTATTAATAACTTTTTCTCTTTTGTTATGGTAACTTTTAATTATTGATACAAACTGTTTTAGTTTTTAGAAGAGATACTACAAACATATGTGTGCGCATGGTATTCTGCTGTATCATCGAATGAAGCTTTTGTTCAACAATTGAGATTAGCTATTGCTACAACTATAACAAACATCAGCAGTCGTTTATTTAGAGCTGATCTTTCAAGCATTATTTTTAAAAATTTGATTCCAATTGCTATTAATCATGCAAAAAATTATCAAGAGTTGAAGAAGAAAGCTAAAGAGCTAGGAGGTAATCCTACTGATTACGTAGCTGACTTTCTAGAGTCAAAAATACATCCTGCAGCTTATTCAAGAGAGGCAGAATTGAATTATCTGAGAGGAATAACTGCTATGTTGTTGCCATGTCTATTACCTGCTACTCATATTTCTACAAATAACCAAGTGAATATTGCTTGAAAAGTTCATGTTTGAAAATAATAATATTATTATATGTGGTCCTGACATTCATTTGAATTTTAGGTCCTTCTGAGAGAAGTTTTAGCCAATTGGGTTTTGTTACCAGCCATCGATGCTCTTGCTGATCCAGATAATCTTAATATGTTAATTTCTTTATGTACTCATCATAAAGGAAAATTTGATCAATCCATAGATACTATGTATGTTCCTATGCTTCAAACATGGATTTCCAAACGGCAATCTTTGCAAAATTTGATGAATCCACTGAAGCCTTCATTGGAAGAAGTACTAAATGATCCTGAATTACTGTACATGTTTATGCAACATATTAAAGACTCTGGATTAGTAACTTTACTGCAATTTTGTTTAGATATTGGTAAATTTTAGCTGGAAATGTGAATGAATTAAAATTTTTTAACTAATTATCAATTATTTCAGGTGACTTGAGTAAAAGAATGTTAAATCCTGAAATGACACTAATGACTGAAGAGACTTTGTATAATGATGCCAAGAAAATATATTCTATTTACCTAGATCCTGAGAGCATAGATTTTTTAAATTTGCCTATGTACATTTCACAAGGCATGAAAGAAAGTAAATATCTAACTTTTTTTGCTTTTGTTTTTTGAAAAACAAAGCATGTTGTTTTGATTAGCTATTAATTTTTTATCTATTTTTGCGAGATTAGTTTTAGACCTTGGACCCAAAAAGGTACAAGAATTTAGAACGTCGCGTCCTCTATACGATGCTCATCAAGAAGCTCACACATTGTTAGAGAATACTTGGCTACCATCATTTCATCATACTTATCAAGTAGTGGCTTACCAATTTAAATCATATTCAAAACATTCGATTTTTAAGGAATATTAATGAATATTTTTATTGCAGATGTACAAATTTTTATGTGGTTCACAAGTCACAAACACTTCTGTAAAAGCCAACTCGCAAAATAGGTAACTAGTTCTTTATTTGCAAACTGAAAATCATTGATTAGAATTAACGCGTTTAATTTTTTTGACAGTAACGTAAGTAGTAGCATTGGTGTAGGTGCTCGATTGACGAATCAGTTAGGCAAGATTCGAGGAGTTTTAAGAGCTTCAGCAGTGGATGGAGCGCCGTTTCATCCGCCAAGCGTGTACCAAGCAGAGGAGGCTAACGGCACACCGCGTATTTCCGGAGGTGAGGCGAATCTGCAAATGTCGACGAGCCGTGATCTTACAACTTGGCGCGTTACTGTACCTAACGTCGACGGTGGAGGCCCACAGCCTCTTTATGTGGTGGCAGTGCATAGTGTTTCCGAGGACAAGTCGTGGACAGTGCTTCGAAGGGATCAAGATTTCTACGCATTAAGAGCAAAATTATCTGAATTTCATGGGGACAAGGAACTTAACGATTCACCACTACCTACAAGGAAAAATCCTCATCCGTCTTTGACTGCGAATAGGTGAGTGCAGAAGTAGTTAAGATTTTGTTATGCAATGTAGAACTGCAAAAATAAATAATGAAATTACAGGCAGAGATATGAGGATTTCCTTCAGAAACTGCTGTCTAAGCCGACCCTTCGAAACAGCGAGTTACTTCATGCATTTCTGACATCGTCAAATTTAAAGCCTTACTTTACGAATTTCAGTACTCCAGATATAGGTGTATTATATCAAAATATGGCTCATAAGTTGAGAAAAGAAAAAGGTCAGCATTTGGATAAGTTCATGAGCACATTTCTTGCCTCAACCAGTCTCAAGCATGAGCTACCTGACGTAGGAATTGAGCTTTCGGGAGATAACAACTTTCACGACACTCAAAAAAGAGGATGGAATCGGCTCAGGTCCGGACCATTCAAAGATAATTTGAGTCTCAACTCGAAAGTCAAAAACTTTCCTTACATTGTAAATAATATAGAGCATACTACAGGTGCTTGTTTTTGTATTGCCGAAGCAAGTGAGTTTCAAGTTACTTCAAACTTTATTTTTTAATCTGCAAAATCATTCGAATCAGGATGTTTCTTACTTTTAGTGGGCAGTTTATTAGAGTTGTCACCAATGATATGTCGTATTATTTGGGTTATAACGTCGGCGATCCGTGCGAGTATAGATCCTTTTGTAAATAAATGGTTTTACGAGATGATAGTGAAGTTATTAAGTGGTGGCAGGGCGGCAATGGTAGTGCAACTGCTGCACTCAGCCATATTTAGCAATGAAGCCAAACATCCCTCGTCAAAGATACCAGCTGAAGTGTATTATAATGAGGCGAGAAGTGGACTTCATAACCTTGTACCGCAATGGTTTCTCTGTATACATTCCAAGTGGTGTGAATTAATGGATTCGCTACTCGAGCCCATTCAACATGCTGCGTTTAACAAGCATTTGGCCTACATGCTTGTCGACCATCTTCTGGTGAATCTGTTTCCCGAGCTCACGTGAATACAACTTGTGAATGATATATAACTTTTTTTGTTTTCGTATAAATACACGATGATATTAAATTAACGCACATTAAATCAAAGTGATTACTTGATCGTTCGCGGTGTATCTTTCGAACAGCATTTAAAAAACGTGATATTTTTAAAAGAGATATTTAGTTTTATTTATTTTTTCTTCTTGTCGTCTTACTCGATGTTGTATTTGTATAGCGGTGGAAATTTTATAATGGTACAGTCACGTCGTTGTTCTTAACTATTTATGTACATAATAAATACATTTTCACAATTGAAATCTATCTTTTCTTTAGCTTAAACATTCTGTTCTAGCTTTGACAATAGAGAGTAGGATATAGTAGAATAAGCAAGAAAAACATAAGAGCAGAGTTTTTGAGTAAGAATAATCTATATTTACAATATCTTTGTACAAAGTCTGTACAAGTTCGTTAAATTATTAATCAAACTAATATACGTAAATTGTAAATAAAAATAATATCTAAAAAGTTTCCGACTTATACAACAAACGGTTTATTAAGCTACGCTGGACAAAACGACAGTTTATACGCCGCTATGCAAGCGAAGTCAGTCTTTCGTGCGCTGATCTGTGCAATACTCAATTGTCATCGAAACATATCACGCAGTCTCTCGTTCACATCTGGATCACATGTATCTGTGTTTGATTTTCATGGTTTGTTTGACATTAGTTCCAGGACACTATAGAAGAGTAGTCGCTGCTGGATACCAGCCGTCGGTTCGTTTGAATAAGGCGCTTTCTCAGTCGGAAAACGCTTTAACAGAGTCACGCCTGGGCGATGACGACACACCACCACCAAGTTCGAACTGAATTTCCTCGAGGGTCTTGCCTTTTGTTTCCGGTACCATGAAGAACACGAAGAACGTGCCAGCTAAGCACACAGCGGCAAAGAGCCAGAAACACGTGTAAGCACCTGCTGCTTGCTCCAATGGAGTGTAATACTTGGTCACAATGAAGGCCATCAACCAGTTGAACAGACACGCGCTGCTTCCGGCGATACCTGTAAAAACATTTCAATTAACGTCAGTTATTGTGTTTCATCAAGGTTCTTTGAAGGTCTAAAATTACCTTTGACAGTCGACGAGAAAATCTCGCCCATCATCATCCAGGGAATGGGTCCGAAACCCATGGAGAACAGAAAGATGAAAGTACAGATGGAGACCAGAGGCAACCAAGTGATGTTGGTAACGTCGTATTTAGAGTCGTCCAAGTAAAAGTAGATTCCCATGATGAGAGTGGTGGCGAACATGGCAAAAATCGAAGTGAGCAGTAAAATTCTCCTTCCAAGTCTGTCGACGATTAAAGTACTCAAGAATACCGCCACGACTTGAATGACACCAACGATGATCGTTGCAGTATTCGCGTTTAAATCTTTGTTAGCTTTATCGAAAATCTGTCCTGAGTAAAAGATTATTGCGTTAACACCGCTGAGTTGTTGGAAGAACATCAGACCAAAGCCAATGATGAGGGCTTTGACGGCAGCCTTCGTTCGGATCGCTTCCACGAAGGACGTTCTACTTCTTTCCTGCTCAGCAAGGATGTCGATCTGCGCTTGGATTTCCGGCTCGACATTGTACCTTGGACCTCGAAGCCTGATGAGACTTGCCCTCGCAGCATCTTCGTCGCCTTTCTTCAGGTAGTAGATCGGTGTCTCGGGCATGAAGAAGAACACGCAGAAAAATACCAAAGGAATTGCCGCCGAAACGAGCGACAGGTAGAACATGCTGATAGCCGGCCCAAGACCGTAAGACACCAGGATTCCAACGGTCAACATCAGTTGAAAGTACGAGCCCAGCGTACCTCTGATGCTGCTCTCGGCGATTTCTGCTGTGTACATGGGTGCTGTCACGCAGAATGCTCCGCCAGCCAGACCAGTTATGAATCGACCAATGTAGAACATAGTCAGCGAGTTGGCGAAGATGATGAGCAGCCAGCCAATGGTGAACGGCACCACAAGGATCAACATCGCGGTTTTTCGGCCGATCATGTCGCAGATGATGCCGATCGGCACGCAAATCGTCGCCGCGCCGAGGGTCACGAATGAGCCGATCCATGAGAAATCCTCCGCCGTGATGACAATATCGTACTCTTCGGAAATCCTGACGCCTTTTTCACCTGCGACCGACGACCAGCCAAGCACCATACCCATCGCCAAGGCCCCGAGAGTCGCCGCGATGCCGGCCATATACTGTGGCAGCTTCTTCGCTGCCGCGACATTGCGATCTCCCGAATTGGAGACGAGAGTCTGCTGAGAAATTCCGATGTTCTTTTCCACCATGATTCTGTTACGGCTGCTTGATTGCTGAGCTCCAAGCAGAGGCGTCGCCTCGCTGTCCTGCAATCAGACAATTTTAATCGTTCCGTTATCGAAGAGCACAGCGGCTGATATTTTGGAGGCTGAGTTTGGGACAAACAAGCGCGAATCGCTATGCGGACGAAAGTGTATTCAGATGTAGATCGTAACGATCGCCAATTAGCCTGCGCGCGTGCAGTTGTGCGGAAGGAGCGAGAGGAGGACGAGCGGCTGCACGGTGGTCCATTGTTATCGGCAAAATAAAGAACTCGCAGGCGTCGCGCAACTGCGTGGCGCACTTGGTAGCATTTCTCGCCGCGCAAGCTGGTCGCCGATCGAACGTTCGCTCGTTCAATCGCGTCGGCCCGTCCAACGGGATTCTTCGACAAGGCAGTGCGTTCGTACGAGTGCGCTCGATTGGACTTGCTATTTTCGTACGTACCACCATTGCGCTGCTCGTAGCAGCTGACGCGATGCCATCGTAATCGTCGTCGCGCATCTTCGTTTATTCTTGAGTACTATCCGACTTTACGCTGCTATAAGGTCCTAATCGACGACGCGAGCGGCTGTTGCCGTGCAGTCATGTCGACCAACTGTTTCTCTGGCCGTGGCTTCGCCTTTCGCTGCCTGCTACTGTGCTCTCTGCGCGAATGACGGCACGCGTTCGCAGCGCACGCACGCCCAGACAAACGCTTGTGTGAGTGAATGCGACGACTCCCCCGGTCAGTAGGCAACCCCGCGTACTCGTGGCGCGCTCGGTGCATTAGTTAATTGGCGCGCTCGATTCGGTTTGCACTCGTGACTCGATTGCTTTTTGCGAATCGCTTTGCATTGTCTTATCAATCCGTGACGCACGCGAAGCGAGCCGACGCAGTTTATCCGAATTTTTTCCATTTTCTTATAGTCACTGTTTGCGAGCGTTGCGTGACAAGGAATGCCGAGTTTTCGGTTTGTTCATATATGGCTTCTTGTATACGTGACAGAATGACAGTTTATTTGTCAACTCGTCGAGCTCCTATTTCATGATTAAGCCTGCGGACGACATTAATGCGTTTGATCCAGTTTTTCGGAAAAATAAATTATTTCAATAATGTTCCGACAGAAAACTATCTGCTCTATTTCAGATGTCCACGCAGTTTCTCGATAGCGATGATTGCCGCTGGTTATTTCCTTCCAATAATGAACACATGAATATTAGCGTGGAAAGAGTCGTTCAGCTAAAGAAATTCTTTTTAACGTGTGTCGCGCGTACAATTTGCATGGCGCACAATTAAAAAATACAGAGTAGAGCAATTTTCCTTTAGAAATTTTGCGAGAGAGGCAAAAATATTATGAGGAAAATCGTTTTTTAGTGTAATTTTACGTGAATTATGGCTGAGCGTGGCGAAATGACATTTTTTATATTTAAAAATCGTAACGAGTATTAATGTTTATAGTTAATAACATTTAAAATTGTAACTACGTTCACGCGTTATCTCGATCATTAACGAAACGAGCGAAACCGAACAAAAAAATTCGCCAACGAGTATAGTTTGCGTTTTTATACTTTATTGCATAATCAGCCGTAGAGAAGTTGATAATTTGCGCGGCACGGCGCCTTGATGGGAGCACTCGCTAAGGTCGTACAAACCCGTACCCTGCGAGTCGTCTTTCAGACGGCCGCGTTCTCGCCACGATCAATATTCTTATTTTAAGAGCAAACATTATCTTTCGCAAGGAGTGTTAATGCGTTTCTCTCTCTCTCTCTCTCTCTCTCTCTCTCTCTCTCTCTCTCTCTCTCCCCTCTCCCCCTCTTTCTCTCTTTCTCTGTCGCTCTCTCGGCTGGTACTGCAGCAGCGATGCAACGGTAAAGGGCAAATCGAGCTTGCCGCGCTAATGCATAGGGAACGCGGAGAAAAATCGATGCGAAGAGCTATATGTGGGAAACGCCTCGCAATCGGCGACCCATCCCGCGTCGACATAATCAATGCACACGCGTGGCTGACTTGGCTATTTCACTGGTAGCGCTGTGCATTGTGCTCCACCATCCCCCTCCCCCAGCTCGAAACCTAGCGGAGCTTGCAATTAAATGTCATGACGGATCGACGCGACTCTCGATATTTATAGACTTTTAATTGCTTCTCCACGAGGCGCGGACAGATATTTGCGCAGGAGATCACGAGAAGGGAGGCGAGTGGAATTGCAGTAAGGAAAATTGGGGGAAACAAAGCGAAAGGAAAAAATGCGAGCGTCGACGTCGGTTGATTTGCAGCTGGCTCGGATCGGAATGGTTTTTCGCGCCACAAGCCTCGTACGGCCGCGGAGATGTACACCGACAGGCGGACGGCTAATGGAGTAGCGATGCGGGCAATAATTTATTGGGAGGAAATGTACCTCGCGCCAATAAGGCGCGCGAGCGCTCTGCAGCGGAAGCCGCGGACTTGTAATGAAATACTCGCGCGATCATGCCGCACGAAGATGCACGCGGGCGCGCGCACGCCGGCGCTTTAATACAAATCACGGAATATGAATAGTAATTTGGCGCGCGCGAGGCAATTCCAATTCCGCATTTCGCCGCGGGCAGAGCGGCGCGCGACGTTTAATCGGGAACGCGAGCGAGCGTGCAGCCCTTTCAGTGGCAATTTGCTCTCGCTCTCGTGTTTCCGCGTGGTTTGCCACCCGGGGAATTCATAGTCTTGCCCGGCCCGATTGCCGTGACGCTCGATCGACCTCGAAGAGATGGCAAATTCACGATCGTTCGATCGTGCTTCTGCATAAGTGTGAGAACAAAAGAAACGCCTATCGGTTCCGCCTTCGATTGTTTCCTATTTTTTTCCTTTTTTTTTTTTTGAAATTCTAATGCAAGCCTGATGAGCTTTCTTCGTTTGTTCTTTCATGAGGCTCCACTTGCACCGTATAGATAGATTGGATTTTAAGTTCCAACGGCACGGCCTTTACGTGCTTCCGCTGCTTTCTGCATCACGACTTTTCGTCATTGCTCGTATCGTGGTCTCTGAGCGATGCATCATTCATGACTTAGATCCGCGATAAAAAGGAACGCCCGCAACATCCTCATACTTCGACTTTTAATGATCCGAAGGAAGATCTTTCAAACAATTTAAACTACTTTTCCTTTTTTTTCAATGCCGATTTTAATCTCGAAGGCTAAGTGCAATTTTTTCGTTCCCTCAACTTTTCACTTCCGTATAATCGTTTCAGTTCTTGATAAGAACAAAGAAATTATTTTTTTCCTACAAAAGTTTTCGTTCAGGCTGATGAAATGACGCGATTAAGAAATTGCAGTTAGTAAAAAGTCATTGACGTTGTTTTAATTTTGCACTTTAATAGTTACGTTCGCGCTGATATTATTAATTTCCTACTCATTTTTTTTATCTCTATCAAATAGGTAATTACACGCATATATAAATATATGTTCTTTGTCGCCGTAGACAAGTATATTCAAATATTATTTACTGGAAAGTCTCGATTAAAACAAGCATGCAACAGTTTCAGACCATAATGAAAGAACAAACAATTGCTTCTGACATATCTGACGACTTTCTGGGTAAACTTTCCTCTTCGTATCCGTCAATCGCTATGTTTGCAAAAGACTGAACGCAATCGCGAATCTTCCTTACGCGACGCCTCGTACGATGTGATAGGAAAGAAGCCCGTGGTAAGCGCAAAAAGCTTAAAACACAGAGAGGGAGGTTCATTAATGCAACTCACGCGCGATCACTCCGCTTACGTAAGGCACGTGCGTTCATTCCGACGAAAGCACGTGTATTTTTGTTCTTTTCCATCGTGGGGACAGATGGATAATCAAGGTGTCGAGATGCAATCAAACAGATAATACCCGTTTCCGTAGATCATCCTCGTGCATTTGTCCGGGGATGTTTGCTTTATTCTTCCGCGTAGTTGGAAAATACATATTGCCCAACTATTAGCGGTATGTTTACGCACGAATTACGGAGATGAGGTATTTATGCACCGAGCACGCTTTATCGGAATAAGTAGCTGGGAGGAAATTGTATAATTCGCATTTTATCATTGTCTCTCTTGTTTGTGAAAAAAAAAAAAAAAAAAACAATGGGAGCCGAAATACGTGGCTTGGAACGCTTTAATTGCACGAAAAAAGAAAAAAATATATACGGCATGTCCTGACGCCACACACGACTACTTCCTGCTCCCTCGCGTCTGCCGCCTTTTGATTTTCTTACGTAACGCGTCCGATTAATCGCGTTTCCGCGAGTCGCGAATTTTGCAAACACCTCTCGGCATTGTTTCAACATTAACTACACTCAAACTTTGTCGTGCGCGGCATTTCCTCGAATGTAAACGTTGTTACAACAAGTTTCATCACGCCACGGCGAGAAACTCGCGTGTGCGTCGGACACATTTCCCCGCTTTTGGATCAAGTTATCCCTCGCAAGCCACACGACTTGTCATTTGTCAAAGTACTTGCGCAATTCGCGCGTGCAACTGCATACGTATACTCTGTAACCGAATTGGCTTTGTTATCTCGCGCGCATCTCTGCCGCCGACAGATTATCACTTTACTCGAGCTCTTTCTTACGTGGGCGCGTCACGCGAGATAAGCTGCAAATTCGGCAATCGTGCTATTTTTCACCGTCGCTCGGTAAATAATGAACGAGCGCGAACTGGAATGTCTTTTGAATTGTCGACGGATGAATTTCCGCGAGAACGATAGAAGGGCGCAGGCAGCGAACGACACTGTCCAGCGCGGAGATTGGCTGTCGACATGTAATTGAAGCAGGATTATCAGCGATTTGGGTGCACGGTTGCCGTTCGACAAGCTAACCCCTCGAGTAACGCGCGGCTCCTTTCCTTTTGATGTCGCTGACGCGCTGGGTCGAGTTGAAAGGAAACTGGGTCAGCGTGCTTATCAAACTGGACGTTACGCAATAGTCTGGCACTGCGAGGTAGCGGATTCCGAAAATCCAAGTAACCCGCCCTTACGCGCGCAGCGAAATACGATTACGCGCGGGGGCGGGAAAAGTGGGTCGTCTCCGATCGATGTAGCTGCTACTGGGTTGCCAGGATTTCGCGTCCCTTTCTTCCTTCGTCGAGCAGAAGCGCGTCTCCGTATCGTCCTCGATGGATCTAAATTACTTTCGGCCTTTTTTTTCCGTCGTATCCCTTCCACTCGCGAGATTGGTATCGGTATATCGGTCGCGAGACTCAATCACTTAACTGATATAGTTGGATGTGTTTGGTGTACGTGGGGAATTCTTTGTCGGCAGGTAAGCTCGCGGAATTTCATTTGGGTATCATTGTTAGCGGGGAAGAACCTATTGGAAAAAAGTCTTTTGATATTGGATTCGCGAGTCGGATGCAAGCGTGAGTGTACTCCGCGCGTTCGACCTAATTTACTCTCGTATTAAGAGGCATGCGCTCATGACAAACGGAGTTTCGCAAATGTAGCAAGTTGGAACGAGAAAAAAATGCAGTTCGCCGAGAGGCTGTAACATGAATTTGTATTACATCCGGCTGCAATCGCGGCACTACGTCTTTTTTAATTAAAATTTTCAACTGATTTTTTTTCCGTTCCCTCACCCGAGTTTCTCAACGCGCCTTTCTATGAAAACTCGACTACTGCATTTTCACGGCGGATACGAAAAACCATGCATTGCTATTCCAAAAGTAAAGCTTGAGAAAGAGAGAGAGGCTCCTTTTCACGTGGATGCAATAATGCGCACAGTTAAGAGGTCATTGACGAAATGTATTCATAAGTGAGAAGCTTCGAGGAGGTAGGCTTGCCATTGTCGAAAGTCGCGCGATTGAATTCATTTTCGCAACTCGCGCGATCATTCTATACATGCCTTTTTTTCAGTTCAAGTATCGCGTTTCACTGCATTCGCGTAGCACAGATTCACAGATGGTTATATCGTTAACTCTCGAGTGTCATTAATGGGAAATACCTTATTTCATAAGTTTGTTTGCAAAAAAAAATAACGATCGAAACGCGAGAAATCGACGAAAATCGGACAAAAGCGCAGTCGACCGATCGATAATTTTCTCGACACCTGATAAGCGCGTCGCGGAACAAATAACATAAACAACGCCAAGCGAAATAACAGCTCGCTTAACTGGTCAACCAATAACTGATCTTGGAACAGAAAAAAAAGCACCTGAAAAAAACCTCTTGGTATGGATCGATGCACACGTAGATTTCGCTTTCCAAATACCCGCCTGAACGTTTCGTTGCCGAGCTTGCGCGAAGATTTCGGAAAAGTGCAAGTGAAGCATGACAAGCGGTCGGTAATAAAAAAAAAGTGGCGTTGAATGTGTTTTTTCTCTGCTGTTATTATTCAATCCCCCCTCTTCTTCTTCTTCTTTTTTGTGTAATGAGGTTAGTGTAATAAACTAAATAACGATATTAATGAGTCGGTGGTCACTCAAGCGCGCTAGATGAGATGGTACGTCTCTACCGATTTCGCAAAAAGTAAGAAAAAAAAGTTAAGTGAATTGGCTTCCGTTGCATCACGGAGCGAAAAGCTTGCACTGCGAACAGACGTCCGATGGAAGAAGAGGATCGACACTTGTCGCGAATAAAATTTGCAAAAGCACTGTCGTCCGCCGCGAGAAACGAAAGCCACATCACAGAGTGGACAAAGAGCTCGAGTGGGACAAAAGCTACCTTTTGCTGTAGTCTCGAGTTGTCTTTGCCGCCGATCCTTGGG